CCCCAAAACCCCAAAACCCCAAAACCCCAAGAAGACAACTCATTATTAAATATAGTATATTGTTATTTCAAAGTATATTGTAATAAATTGCATATAATACTATAAAACAATGAATAATAAGCAATAGTAAAAGTCTAAATTAGACTAGATGTTTGCAGGCTTTGATGCCTAGGAGATATCTGATGACAGTGAGCCAGAGGTTATATAAGAGAAGAAGCTCACTTAAAATGATAAATCATCGGTAGGCAGTATGAGTTCCCCAGATGCTGCTAAGAAGAAGAAAAAGAAGAATAAAAAGGGGAAGACAAAGAGAGAAGCTGAGAAATAAGTAGATGAGCTTGAGAAGTAGGTAAATAATCTCAATAGTCAGAAAAGACTAAAGCAAGATTAGTAAATGAGTAGCTAGCAAGCAGATTAGACTATGAATTAAGATATTGATGCAGACATTTTGGAAGAGGAGGAAATGAAACTCGCTAAAGAAGGGGAAATGCTTGAGAATGTAATATAGATTGAGCAGCAGATGGATCAAGTTGGCTACAAAGAAGAGGATTACATTGTCGAGAGATTCGAATGGGCTAATTGCATTCATGAATATGTAGCCCCTAAAGGCTTTGTTAGGCCAGAATATAAAAGACCAATCCAGAGAGCAAAGCAATATTAATTTACCTTGGATAAATTTTAGGAAAAAGCTGTGGAATGCATCGAAAGAAATGAATCAGTGCTAGTAGCAGCTCATACCTCTGCTGGTAAGACTGCTGTAGCTGAGTACTCTATTGCATTAGCTTTGAAAAATAAGTAGAGAGTTATTTATACTTCTCCAATCAAGGCCTTGAGTAATTAAAAATATAGAGAGCTCTAGGAGGAATTTAAGGATGTAGGTTTAATGACTGGTGATGTTACCATCAATGAATAAGCATCATGTATAGTCATGACTACTGAGATTCTAAGAAGCATGCTTTACAATGGAAGTGAAGTCACTAGAGAAATGGCATGGGTCATATTTGATGAAGTACATTATATGAGAGATAAGGAGAGAGGAGTTGTTTGGGAAGAAACTATGATTCTTTTACCAACAGTTGTGAAATATGTATTCTTATCAGCTACTATTCCTAATGCTAGAGAGTTTGCTGAGTGGATTGTTAAGATCAAGCAACAACCCTGTAACGTAGTTTATACAGACTACAGACCAACACCCTTGCAGCACTTTATATATCCTATCGGAGGTGAAGGCATTTATATGGTTGTGGATTAGAACGGCTAATTCAAGGAGCAGAATTTTACCAAAGCAATAGCTGTCTTAGAGAACGACCTTAATCTTGACAAGATCATGGAGGACAAGAAAAACCGTAAAGGTGGTCCCTAGAAGACTAATCAAAACGCAGAGATGAAGAAGATCATCACTCTCATCGTGGATAAAGGTCTTGATCCTTGTATCGTTTTCAGTTTCTCTAAGAGAGACTGTGAAGCCTATGCTATGTCACTCAAGGGGTGTGACTTCAACAAGGACGATGAGAAGGACTCTATCAAGAAAATATTCAATAATGCTATGGGGTCTCTTGCTGAGGAGGATGCTTCACTGCCCACAATTTAATCTATGCTGCCATTGTTGCAGAGAGGAATCGGCATACATCATGGTGGACTACTGCCAATTGTTAAGGAAGTGATTGAGTTATTGTTTTAAGAGGGACTGCTGAAGATATTATTCACTACTGAGACATTCTCAATGGGAATCAATATGCCTGCTAAGACTGTTGTTTTCACTTCAATTGAGAAATTCGATGGAGATGAGTACAGATGGATAACTGGAGGTGAGTTCATTCAGATGAGTGGTCGTGCTGGTCGTAGAGGTTTGGATGATCGCGGAGTGACTATCCTTATTGCAAATAAAAAGCTTGAGCCAGAAGTAGCTAAGAGCATTCTGAAGGGTTCCTCAGACCCTTTGTACTCTGCCTTCCACTTGGGCTACAACATGCTTCTGAACATGATGAGAATCGAAGACATCCACCCAGAGGACATCATTCTCAAGAGTTTCCATCAGTTCCAAAACGAGAGAGCTTGTCCTCAAATGAAAGCCAAGTTAAGCGAGCTGGTTGCTGAGTACAAGAGCATTAGTATCCCACTGGAGGACAAACTTGAAAAGAAAGCCAAGTACGTTTCTCAGCAAAAGAAGATTCAGACTCAGATTAATGAGATTGTATGTGAGCCAGAAAACATAGTGCCATTCTTGGTTCCAGGCAGACTAATAAAGGTCAAGTCAGAGACTCAGGATTGGGGTTGGGGTATTCTCGTCAGCTGGACAAGGCAAAAGATCAACCCGAAGAAGTTCCTGATGGGTGCAAACAACAAGATATCTAAGGACCTTGATATTCTGACTCGCTAGGAGAATCACTACATCCTAGACATTTACCTTTATGTTAAGAACAGATTAACAAACGATAACCTTATCTAGGCAGGTGATGTCACTTAGAAAGATGGAAGACTTGGCATTGTGCCAGTCATTTTGCACCCCTCGCAGATTGCTGGAGTAAGTACTATTCAGATGAACTTGCCCCATAACCTTAACAACCAGGATAACAGTAAACAGGTGGAGACTATGTTCTTTGAAGTAATGAAGAGATTTGACAACGGCAACAAATTAATGTTGCTAGACCCTGTTGATGATATGGAGATTGAGAATAAAGACCTAGATAAGCTGATCAAAGCCAATCAATAAATCGACTATGAACTCTAGAAACTCAATGAAAAGTATCTAAGTCAGTAGGTATAAGATAGACATGAAGAGTTGTTTGAAAGGAAGAAAGAACTAAAGCACACTATAATAGAGTTGGAAGAGTCAGTGAAGAAAGCTAGTGAGATGATTATGAAGAGTGATCTCGTTAACATGAAGAGAGTCATGCGTAGACTCGAACTTTCAGACAAGAACGATGTACCAACACTGAAAGGTAAAGTTGCCTGTTCAATTTCAGCTAGTGACGAGCTTTTGGTGACAGAGCTATTATTCTCGGGAATGTTTCAAAGCTTAGACCCATATCAAATAGCCGCTTTGGCTTCATGCCTGGTATTCACTGATGTGAAAGGGGAAGTTAAAATGCCGAGAGATGAAAAGTTCACTCAGCCATTTAGTTAACTTACACAAGCTGCTGAGAAGGTAGCTACTATTATGATTGAATCTAAGATTCCACTTGATAAAGAAGAATATGTCTAAAAATTCAGGCCAGATATCATGGAGATTACATATAAATGGTGTCAGGGAGCCAAGTTCAAGGAAATATGTGAAATCGCTTAAGATGTGTATGAAGGCACAATCATCAGAGCCTTCAGAAGACTAGATGAGCTGCTATCCTAAATGACAGAAGCCTCAAAGATCATTGGAAATATGGAATTAAAGACTAAATTTGAAGAGGCACAGAGAGGACTAAAAAGAGGTATTGTATTTGCAGCATCTCTCTATCTTTGAATTCTCAACGCAGCTAAATATTCCTAAAAATAACAACTAATTAAGATTATTTATTTTTTTAAAATACAAATATCTACTTTATCAATTGGAGTTGAGGGGTTTTGGGGTTTTGGGGTTTTGGG